TGGTTTTGATAAGTGGTTCCAGATGTTTTTGCCCATGTTTAAGAGATGCCAAGTTTTTTGGAAGATGTTCGCAGCCAAAACGCATTCTTCCGTACGTCGCATTTCTGTGTAATTTCGCATGTGGTGTGGCATTATGTCCGGGATGATGCACGTCTTTTTATTTTTACCGTAGCTGTTTTGATATTGGAGTAAATTTTATTTTCGAAACATCCCCACGTCCTTGAAATGTTGTCGCCCGTTTATGTGACCGGTAGTAATTATAAGTCGCGGTCAGGCTGATGGGGACGGAAATGTGGGGTGGTCAGAGGTCAACATTACGAAATGTAAATACCGATGACGTAATCCTATCGATTTCAAATTGGTCGGCTGTGGCGACCTAGTGGCGGCGTGTATTTAGTCACGTAGCAACTGGCCGGTCGTCCTAGCAACGAGCATGCTGGCCGCTTCTGTACACATGGCCAATATTTTTGGGTTGGGCCGCTCCATAGTGTTAGTGGAGCAGCTCTTTGTAAACATGGACAATATTTTTGAGCAACCCATCAATGTGTTCTGCCTCGTGGTCGGATGTGGTCTGGGGCTGGTAAACCGCACATACTAGTAGATCGGGTAATTTTATGATTTGCTAGTTGTAAAGGGGTCTTGTAGTATGAGCTGGTATATGAAGAAGTAGCCTGTGTTACACAATCATGCTTTCGGCCGGATTGATGTGCAACTGTTACTAATTACAGGGACTGCGCTAATGACGACCAGTCGCGCTGTCCTGATACACCGCGAATGTTGGGCAATATGCGAGTGTTCCCTGTAGACAGTCCTGGGAGTCATTTTTTTCGCACATTCGCACATTCCAGGAGCCAAACCAAAATACGTTCATGAACCGAGTCCAAAAACCGAAACGTGAAAATCGGATGATCGGACCTGATGTACATTTGGCCATGGCAGGTAAAAAAAAAGTAACCCTGAATCATACTAGATTAGCGTAAATGCATGTTTATGCGTTCAAAACAAGAAAAGAAATTGTTTCGCGCGCCCTTCCCCGTTGTTTAGACTGTATGCAAATCCCGCGTCACGTGTCGGCATTTCGCATCTCTGATTGGTTGTTGCGTCTTAAGATGACTGAGCCGACGCGCGTTTAAACAATTTTTCTTTGTTCGATTTATCACACTTCACAGAGAATTATCGCCAATGGCTACTTCTTTTTGTTGCAATATATAATACTTCACTATGGCTTCTTG